TATGGCAAGGCAAGGCTGTGACAAAAACAAGGCTATGGCACAAAAAAACAAGACTGTGGCAAAAATACTAAATAAAGTTAACAAGACTATGGCAAGGCTGTGACAAAAACAAGGCTATGGCACAAAAAACAAGGCTGTGGCAAAAGTGCAAAAATCAAAACCTTACGTGGCGAGAAACAAAGGACACGAAAGCAAAGGGACACAAACACACTGGCGCAGGACATGGGAAACGAGGACTATTTAAACACATGAGGGAGGGGAACCCCAGGTGTACACAATAGGTGATGAAGACATGACGAGACACCAAACATTCCCCCAGACGTGACACTTTGTAGGTATTCCACAGCTAGCAAACAATAACAGTACATACCAATTGTACTGGGTTAATTAGAGAAAGAGATCGGGATTATGAGTAGGAAAACACTGCTGTTTGCCATGTTCTAGATTTGGGTAATGCACTGACAGATAAACACCAATATGAGCCACGTAACAGAAGTAAATATGTCAAAAAAGAAGATAGAATCTGGAAGCATCATGTAGGTAAATATCCTGTAATCAAGATTACACAGAGAGGTAGATTTGTGTAATGCACTGACAGATGAACCCGTATGAGCCACGTAACAGAAGTAAATATGTCAAAAAAGAACAGAATCTGGAAGCATCATGTAGGTAAATAATCTCGTTATAAACACCTTTTGCTTCTCTGTTAGACTTTCTGTTACAGATTTGCTGCTGTTTTCGAGGGATCGTTTTCCAGGCTGGGGGCTTTATTTTCCCGTGTGGGTGGGAGGTGACGGACGCTGATTCAGACATGAAAACACTCGGCTGGAGAATTACGGAGAGTGTCGAAAAACAGAAACTTTCTCTCCCTTTACAGCGTTCGCCTCTCGAGAGATGAATCCGAGCTAAAGCGCATTCGGGGGGAAGACGGAAACTGATAGGGCTGTCATCTCCCTCCATTCACACTTGATCCACACAAGAAAATCTGTCAACTCTCCTATTGATTAACGGATATTTGGATTGGGAAGCAGAGGTGTCGACATTTTGACGCTTTGTGGCTGATTTTCAGACTTTGACGCGACTTTAAAGGAGACATATTATACCCTATTTCAACAAGTTAAGCTAGTTCCCTGGTGTCCTAATGTAATGTCTGTGACAAGCTTTGGTCAAAATCCCATAAGGATGAAGCCCAATAGCAGTTCAGCCCCCCTGCCAAAACAGCCCCGTTCAGAGCGCTCGCTTTGGAGTGCCTGTCTCTTTAAATGCAAATGAGACACAGGCAATCCACCCACTTCTTCAGGGAGGTGTGCCCACGTCGGCACGCTAACGCTACCATGCTAACGCTAGCATGCTAACGCTACCATGCTAACGCCACCATGCTAACGCTACCATGCTAACGCTACCATGCTAACGCTCACGCTACCACGACGTCTGCCACAGATAGGGGAGTAAGCTGAGGGGGGGGGGCAA